CTTAATGACCAGGGACTTGCAGGGGGAGGAATTCTTTTATTCTCCTCCATGTTTTCGACCGACGCGGAAGCTCTCGCGCAAATGTAACCATTTCGGTTGGGACCTTTTGGTCAGCGATGCGAACTGGTTTGTCGGATGTTTGTGCATCGGAGATGCGGGGCAGTGACCGCTTCAGCTCTACCTGACCGTGGAGGCGTACAGCCAGCTTGCATTTATTACATTTATTTTTGTTTATTTGGGGCATTGTTTTGTTAGAGATTTTTGTATGTTTTAAAGGACCCATTTTAAAATGACTTCTTAAAATATTGGAGGTGGTTCAACGATCTCGATGGAATCGAACTGACAATAGCGATCACGTTGGATCGCATTATCGTGCGTCGTGCGTGTCGGAAGCACCATGTGCGAGAGGGGCGTCCTTTTCATCGGAATAGGTTCATCTCGTACAGTTTGACTCTCAGCCCGTGTGTGCGTACGTTCTGGGCGTGTCGTGCTTTGTCGTCATTATCTTATTACCATTACCTTTTCAACTTTTAGCAGAGCAAGTGATGTCTGTGATGCCTGCTAGCCATGAAGCTTGTGATGGCGCGTGTTGTGTAGATCGGTAGGTATTCGTGGGTGTGGCATGACTACGACATGCCACCAAACGACAGGGTGGCTCTTCCATCAATCAAAGTGAGAGAAACGTATGGACTCTTGTTAATATCTCTTCTACGAAGTTATTTTGATCGTATACGATATATATGGACTGCGTATATCGGGATCTCCTATAAACAATTTACAAATATACAATATAAACAATACTATAACTTGTTCGTAGTTAATTGCCAACGCTAAAGAGTTAAAATTTAATTTTTTGTACTGACGCAGTTTAATTTATGTGACCGCATTCCCCTGTTTTTCCAATTTACAATACTGAGCCTGGCTGACGCACATTTAAAAATATGATTCCATATATTCACAAATGTTACATGCTAACTGCAGTTTTCATATGCAACCGAATGTGGCGTCACATGAACTGAATAACTGTTTGCTTCTCTGAGTATTGTCTAAAACAAGTAGCCAGTTGTTGCACATGACAGACTCCTAGTTCCGCTATTGAAAGAGAAGAACAAATAAGTTTGCCAGTTATCACGTTCCTCGTAGCTCATTTTCTGTGCTTATGATGTACCATTATGCCAAGAACATGTTACTTTAGATTTTCTTCTAATGCCGGTGAGCGGATCAGCGGCTCCCTCTATTAAAAGGCATGTAATGGAAACTCTTTGCCTGTTGTTTAGTGCAGGGTGTCCCATTAAAGGCTTTATTTTTGCGCCACTAATTTGAATTCATGTCGCTCTGCTACAGACTGCTATTGGCTATCGACTGTATTTTCAGCTTTAGCACAGTTCGGATATCGACTCGAATACGCGCATCGGAGATCTGGGAATGATGAGCCAGACTCTGATTTAAATTATGTTGCAAAAGTCATGCTTTGAATGGGGCCTGTACTAAAGTAAGCGAGCTGTATAAAGCACTGGAGTTAGCTAGAATATAGAAATAAAATAACAGAGAAATCTCCCCCCCCCCCCCCTCTTTCATTACATGGCCTGAGGGAAGGCCGCCCGCCCCGTCTTGTTAGGCAAACCATCGCGCAGCAGCATGCGTTGGGCTGCGGGGCTGCTGCTCTAGACCTCACCTTAGCTATCTAGATGCCTGGCTCACCTGCCTTGACACAAAAGACACAAATGTCTCCAATTTCCGATAATCATCTTACAATTGGTGTTAAAATATGACATTGCGTTGAATTTTGTTTCCTTTTATGTTTTCTTTTAAATGTAAATTTGTAATTATACAAGGGCGTTATTGGACCAGTGTTCACCAAGTTCAATGACTTGCTAGAGGTAAAAGCATTTAGCAGTGACCATGACTAAAAAGCTTCTGCTGAGACTGCTCCCCTGCTTCAAAGGACGATAGTGAATTCTTTTAATAGTCTGCGAACGGCGAACCCAGCTATCCGCTCCCCTCGAGCAACAATGAAATACCGATCAAGCTAGCGATTCGCTTTGCCGTGTGACTGCCACCTGGGTGATGCTGCCTCCGTACTGTACGAGATAGAATAATCGTCACTCTCATCGACAAGTGTTACTGTATCTTAATTTTGTGAAAATGATGAAACATTAATTTTAAGGTTAATGTTACTACACTACTCTGTTCTGACAATTTTTCTTATATCTCGTAGCCCAGGACATTGTGCCCATGTTGCCAATTGTTACTGTCATAAACTAGCTTATATAGATGTCATGAAGTTTCCAAAAATCCCCTTCATATTTCAATGTTCATGGTTGTTTATAAAAGCACATTTTTGGGGGAAATAAGTTGTTTCACTTGGTTCAATAAGTGTATTAATATAAAGGACACTTTAGTGAGATCACTGCTTGGACGCTGAATGCAGATTGTGTCGTAACTCTGTGCTACCACGCGCTCCGCGCATCCGCCCCGACGTACCCCACCATTAGCGTGTATGTGTGTAGGGCGGGTAGGTTCGAGATGCGGGGGTGTTTGTAGCAGCTCTGACTTCAAAGGTGATATAGCACGCGTTGATGGGAACCTAAACGCAGACCACGACTCATAGGAAACAAGAATTAGTTTTCAGAAGTAACTAATAAGCTACCAGAAATTTGATGTGGCAGCTGATAATTGGTGGACAGAGAGCATAGTTTAGCTCACACAGCAAAGAACAGGAGCGAACCGGTTGGCTCCTGACTGCAGCTTCAGGTTTGATGAGATGAGGCAACTAACTCTTGTCTCTTGCAACCAATTATTAGCTGCTACAATTTCGGATTGCCTATTGCCTATTCACTATTTTTGTGGGACTCCCTGCTTGTGGTTCAGGTGAAATCACTTCACTCCACCTGTGAAAACACTGGACAAACAAAGGTAGGCATGAACACCCTTCTTAGGGTGTTCATGACTTTCGTGCCTTTACAGAAGCACGAAACGATTCACACCTCTGGAAAGGTTCCGAAATCCCCCAAAGGTGCTAAAGTTTAGTGCCTTTGGAGACTTTCGTGCCTTTTTCAAAGGCATTAAAAGTTTGCACCTTTAAAAGGTACCAAGTCGTACCTTTGTTTTTACAGTGAACTGTCACATTCTTTTAGATTCTATTGTCACATTTTTTAAGTGTGACTAGAATTATACTTGCTTAGACTGGCTGAGTCAAGCTGTAAAAAATGTGACATCACGATTCCACCATGACAGTTTTTTATGTGATAACCAATGTTTCTTTGGCTCATGTAGTGCTGGTGCTGCAGATCTCGCCTTTCGCGAGAGACTTCAACGCACGCGATGAGCGCTAATATTTTGTTAAAAAGCGCCGAATTATATCGATTCGCTTTGATGACTATTTGCGACCTCCTGCTCTTGGCAAGAGAAGATAAAACTATTTGGGGTCATTCACAAATGACGTTACGCCTTTTTTGCCGTCCCCCCCCCCCCCTCTTCCCCCTAGTACCCTCAACATTTTCAGAAGCCGCTTTTTGCGGTCTGCTCTTTTCAAAACCGACCCTAAACATGACGGGCTAGACGCCCTAAGTGGAGGCGCGGAACCTTCCAGGACGCCCTGCTGGTATCTTGTCAGATCTCACAAGGTGCATGCCGGGGCCGGCAGCCCCTCTGGTCAAGCGCGGGAGTGGAGTAGTGAGGCAACTAGACTCTATGGGACACTCGATCCCCATTCCGGGTGAACCGAGATCAAGACTGAGATCGGATTAAAGGACTATCCGCTCAACGGTTTTTTCTGACCCCATTTCCCAGAAGCAGTTGCTGCTGGCTTATCTGTTAAAAATGTGCATCAACGTAGGGTAGGAGCTGCTGAGCCTGCGGCTGATGCTCGTGCTTATTCGGTGCACTTAAGCAAGGGCACAGTGACCATCCTTTCTTCAGTCCCTCCCTAGCATATGTCTCCGTTTTACGCTATTTTGTTCATTCTTTAATTCACGCTGGTAACTCTTATCAATCGCATTACCACCTTTCGGATAACAGTTGAGCACCATTAAAACAGACACGGTCACTTTGTTTTAAACTTTAGAACGTACCGCTAAACTTGGACCTTGTGACAGGCGTTGACCTTGCCGTGGCGGCGCGGGGCGAAGGGCCCAAAGGGTATTGCACAACATAACTGCCGCGCCATGCGCCGGTCCTGTGGCTCATTTCTCATATCATTCCCGTAATGGCGAGCGATAATTGGCCCCCCTGTCCTCACTGTTGTGATCTATCACTTAGCCGCTGACTTTGTTTCCAGCAGCGGCGAGGCGTTTGTGAACAGTCCTACCCATGACTGGAACTCTCAACCTTCAGGGCGCAGCGTCGCAGTAGTGCGCTTTAAGTCTATTCTTGCTGCACTTACCATAATAAGGAAACAACAATAATTTTATTATTTCAAAGTTTTCCTTACGCGTCATTCGACACACAAGAACTCCTAACATTCTAAATATGACTGTGCTTGTGAAACTGTGGCCTCTACCTTTCAAGGCTGGACCGACATTATTGCCGAGTAAGCAGCACGAACGTTATTTGCAAAGTTCCTAAACGGAATCGATTTCAGAGGCAATGATAGGGAACTGATAGCACCATGCCGCCCCCCCCCTGGCACGCTTAACCCGTGTGCACAGACCCTAGCATATCACAACATATCACTGTTGGGTGTCTTTAGAGCTCTAAGAAAATTTCAAGAGGGAGGGGCGTCTCAGTTTGTAACCTTTGTTGTACGGTGCCGTTTTGTTTTCTGTAAAGACATCTTTTATCTGTGTTAGTCATAAGCATCTTTATTACCCATGCCCTATATTTCTATAGGCTACGTTTCGTTGGTTTTGGTTTTGGTTTTAATTATCAAAATTTGCTTGCTTGTTTTACTGTGAAATGCGTCTGGATCATCGAACATACCCCGTGTGGGGGAAAGGCGGATAAATACATATTTTGCTGTTATTCGTACACATCTGTACAACAACATTGTTCAATGTTACAAATTTTTTATAATATTTAAAGGACATGTTGCCTCTCTCTGTATCCCTCCCCCTCCGTCCCTATTTTCCTCCATTTCCCCTCCTCTCCCCCTGGAGCTGCAGCTGCTCGGCAGGGCTCGAGGGGGGCGGCGCGGGGCGCGCCGAGAGGGCTGGGAGGCTTTATAAAGGCTGCGGTGCGCTGGGGGACAACACAAGACTGACAACCTCACGTGGACCAGTTTACTGCTACCTCCGTACCTGAAACCATGATTTTCGCCAAAGTAAGTGTCATATGCCCAATTAGATCTGAGTGTGATAATAGTGAGTGCCAATGGTCGTATGTTGCAGTGGGGTGAGAAATATGCATCGGGGCTGCAGCAATTGGTCAATTTGAAATATTGGGTGCGCATATCTTAAGTTTGCACGTCATGCACTAAGTATGTTTGATATGCTCAGTGTCAAAGTACTTCAGCTTAAATTTTGTCGCTTTCGACACTTTTGAAAAATCGTGCAAGATTAACGTGCATATTTTAAATATCTGTAAAGAGGGCTCTTAAACTTAAAAAGGGGTTGCTTTTCTTTCTGTTAGAGGAGAGAAAACTGAATTTGTCAACATGACATAGCTGTAGTGCAGGTATAGAAGCCTTTATCGGTTATACTAATCATAACATTACAAAAAGCTTGAAGAAGAAAGATTTTTGAATTAAAATTGAATAGGTTGACGGTTTGAACGGTAATACCAGGTACGGGTCCTATATTGCGAAAGTAATCGTTTTTCCTTCCTTTCCGTTTACTAGTGGATCCTATTCCCAAAATGATAACCGATAATACTTGACCGAACTGAGCAGTTGGCAGGACTGGGTGTTTTACTTTGGGGCGTGAGGGACGAGTGGAGCCGTGCGTGGTTAAAGGGCTGTGCGGGTGGGTAGGGTAAGTAGGGCAGGGTGAGCAGGGTAAGGAGGGCAGGGCAGCGAACTGTTATGCAAAGTGAAGTAACGAAGTACAGCTCACAGCGCGACCCAGCCGGGCTGAGCCTGGCCCGATTAGAAACACTGCTCGCTGCTCTCCGCGCTCGCCCGAGCTGGTAGCTGCCCGCCCGCGATCTCTTTCACGCGTGCAGGGTTGGCAGGGCAAGGGCAACCCAATAGGAGGGACGACACAACTAGGAGGCTTCTTTCGCAAGTCAGCTGACCGATGGCGGCTTGAAGTCCCGATGCTCTTCGCTGAGCTCAGGCAGAATAGTGCTCTCTCTCTCTCTCTCTCTCTCTCTCTCTCTCTCTCTCTCTCTCTCTCTTGCCCCTCTGCCGATACTGCCGTGCCGTTTACTGTCTCACTTCTGCAGCCCCCTACCCTGTCTCTGCTCGCATACTAGCTGGTGGGTCACGATCAGATGCCCCCCTTTCCCCTACCTCTTGTTCTCACGCTTTGCCAGCGAGTCGCAATTCATAAACAAGAGACTGACCCAGCCTCCCCTCTCTCTCACTCTATCTCTCTCCCTCTCTCCCTCCCCCCCTCTTCATCCCTCTCTCTCTCCCTTCTCCCCCCCCCCTTCTCCCTCTCCCTCCTCTCTCTGTCTCTCTCCTTCCCTCTCTCGCACGCTTACACACTCACACTCCATCTCTTTTCCCACGCTACGCTTGGCGAGGTCTGCTCGCACCACATACTAGCTGCATAGACGAAACTGCATCGTTTCAGTCGGGATAATGGAACACGTTTTCGCGACACTGAATTGAGCCATTCAAGGTAACACTTTGGGAATGATGGCCGCTGTAGGAATGTGTTTTGCCATACACTGGCCTAGTGTGTGACAGAATTTTCAAATATACCTGCAGATGTACGAAGGACCATTACACATTTGCGAACGGGTAAATGATGACTCCTATTTTAAGTGTACGAACCTCTATTATTCGCTTACCTACAAAGGCAGTGTGTGTGGATTCACTGTGTTGCACATCTGCAAGAGTGTGAATTTTTTCACTCACCTTCCGGTGAGTGACGTTCGTGCACTTGGATCACTGTCCTTATTGTCCAGGCTCTCCTCCTGACTGCCGCCGCCATGGTGGCGGGTGTCGGGGCCGGTGTGGTGCCCGTGGGGCCGCACTACGGTCACTACGCGCCCGCGCCCGTCCACTACGCCCCCGCCCCGGTGCACTACGCCCCCGCGCCTGTCCACTACGCCCCCGCTCCGGTGCACTACGCGCCGCCGCCCCACCACTACGCGCCCGTCGAGGTGTACCCGGACTCGGTCCCCGAGTACAGCTTCGGCTACTCGGTGTCGGACGCGCACACGGGGGACGCCAAGAGCCAGCACGAGACGCGGCACGGCGACGTGGTCAAAGGCAGCTACTCGCTGGTGGAGCCCGACGGCACCGTGCGCACCGTCAAGTACACGGCGGACCACGTGCACGGCTTCAACGCCGTGGTGGACCGGCAGCCGCCCGCGCACTACCACCACTACTGATTATATTACGGTGTCATTATTTGCATCTGTTTTTATTATTTTTGTACAAAGTCGCTTTAATAAAATATTCGTGTTTGTTCTTTGAGTGTGTTCTTGATTTTCTGTTTTGTTGTTACTGTGAGTGAGTGTCTACTAGTGTTAGCCTTACCTTATACGAATAATGTGAGATATACTTCTTCATTAGTGACTGTCTACTATTGCATTCACTGCGCAGTTCTGGACAAGTGACTTGGTTTTCACGAATTTTCTGAAAGATTAATATATTTTAAATTTATCGATAGTTTTCGTTTTAAAAAGTCCTTTATGAACTAAGTATTTCATTTTCTAAACAAACTAGTAATCACATGGACACAGCCTTCTATCTCTCGCCTTCGCCTCATTGGTTTTGGTAAAACGTGAGGGAAACACGTAGAAGCTCCTGAGACGGTGCCGCGAAGAAGTGACTGTGCAGTGATGATCTCTCATCTCGGACAAGATTGCGTCTTTTCTTTTTGGCATAGCCTCAGGGTTCTTCTAAATCTACAACCTCCTTGCGGACGCTTGCGTCTTGGCCGCAGGGGCGCTCGCCGCTGCAGTGTACGGCTCCCCTTGATTCCGGACGACAGCGTTGAACCCGTTGACGGCGTCCGCAGTGTAGGTGACGATGCGCATGCGGCCATCGGGTTCCCGAAGCGCGTACCTCCCTGAGACGACGTCCCCTTGACGCGTCTCGTGCTGACTCTTAAGGTCCCCCGTCTCCTCATCCTGTGGGTCGAAAAAATTGCGAGAGTTTAAGGATTAACCGATTCAGGCTAGTGTAGTAGATGGATTCACAAAAAAAAAGTGTGGGCGTTCAGTGCATTTTCCGGCCGGGTGTCCTGGCGAAGACATGCCAGTACGTTGCGTTGCCTATGCGCTGGCTGCAGGGGCTGCAGGCGCGGGGCGCGTGGCGGGGAAGTGGTGGGGTAGCAGCCCCTACTTACACATTCTTCCTACCCCCTGCCCCGCGCCTGCAGCCCCTGCAGCCCCTGCAGCCAGCGCATAGGCAACGCAACGCACTGGCATGTCTTAGCCTGAATACCCGGCACAGTACATCAGATCCCTTGCAGGGTCCGTGCTATGGGCGACTCAACCGCGCACCAGAGCACGACAGGCTCGTCGCTCACCCTGTTAAAACATTGCGGAGAGATACACCATGAAGTTCACAATAGAACAGGATTTGCTTTACTTACAAAGCATTGCTTCGCAACTAACTGCGAAAGACTTGCTATATTGCTTCGCGTTCTTTTAACTGTTCATCGTGCACGTGCATATATGACGGACCTCGTGTTAAAGGGCCTGTTGACTCACGGTAGGCAGCCCTGCCGTGCACCAAAGTATGCACTGTGTTTGTTATACTTGGACTACAGCAAGTTTACAAAATTGTTTGTGTAAACGGAAAATATTGAGCACAGTTTCTTGAAATCGCTGGCCTCACCTGTACAGAGTAGCCGAAGCTGTACTGCGCCGGTTCTTTCTGCTCGTCGTGGTCCTCCTGGTGCTCGGGCTGCTCGTCCTGGTGCTGGCGGTGGTGCTGGTGGTGGTGGCTGCCCGGCCCGACGCCCAGCCCGTGGTGCCCCGAGTACGATTGCCGGCGTGTGGCGGCCACCGCCCCGTCCACCCGCAGCGGGTCGCCAACCCCGAGCCCGACCAGGGCCACAAAAACCTGGGGGTGAAAGGGACATGGCCAAACAAACTTATCACGATAAACACATGAATATGTCAAATGTTTTTTTGTATTTTTGCTGCTGTTTTGTTTCGGCACTTCACTTATACAAATTCTTGTAATTTACAATGCGACATATTTGAAAGTTTTGCGAGCATGGAACGCGAACAGTCGACAAACAAGCATTTACAAACAATTATGAAGCTACTAGAAAAAACTTTTTACGAAAGCCAAGGAGCCTTGCTTGTATCACACCCACGCAGACAAGGGGAGCCCCGGTGGTTACTGTTATGCCTGCGACCTTACGGTAAGGGCCGGGCAGCTGTCCTCCCGATCTCGGCACCCTACCATAACTCCGGAGTGCTTCATCGTGCCTGCTCGCTGTCGCTGTACTTGACGAAGTGGCCGTGGCTCGCGCCCTTGCCGTAGTTTTATACGGCAGTTTAGGGCGGCGAGTGGCGCTGGCTCCAAAGGGAATTGGACTTGGTCCGGTATGGGTCGGCACCGCCTGTAATTGGAAAATGTGCGTGGCAGGGCGGTGCTTTTCTCGCGCAGCCAACCGTTTGTCCGGCGTGGTGTGGTGTCGCACTGCCGGCGTTGGCCAAACGCGGCAGGTCTTTTTCCGGTCGGCCGAATGATTGACTCTACGATCGGCCCCGCCCCGTGTTTCACGTGCTTATTGGCCCCTCCGGCCCCTCGAGCCAAGTCTTCCCTACCCCGTGTTTTGTTTGTACGTACGCTTCTTCTCGCCGCCTATCTAGCCTTGGACGAAGAACATGCGTTTCATTCAGGCGAGAAGGGGAACGATTTGAGAACAAAATGTGCTTGATTTGAGCCCAAATACTCCAGAGCATGTGTACTGGAGATTATCAAGTGTTGGTGCACATGATGCGAGAACGCGCTTGGCGCTTCTCTGGGTGAGCACCCTTCGCGGCCGGATGGGGTGGTTCTTCATTTGGCATCTTAATCCAAACATTGATTTGGGTCCGGCTGGTGACACTGGGCCATTGCCCAAGCCTCGCCGTGGTGCCGTGGCGCAGGTGCGGTAACGCGTCTAAGCGGGCGGAGGTCACGGGGCTGTGCGCGCGCGCGTGTGTGTGTGCGCGCGTGCGCAGTGCGTCACTGTCTCGCGACGCTGGAGGGAGCAGGATGGACAGAGAGCTTCGCGACGTCTGGCGCCGTCTAGACGCATCGCTACTTGCGAAAGACACTCGGCAGGGATGCTAAGACTTCGAGGCTTGCTGGGTTACCCTCGTTATTCTCACGTGTATGAATTACATAAATGCTTTTCGATGAAACGAAATTAATTTTTTGACGCATTAAGTACAGAAAAAAATAATATTGAGAGCAAATACCCACTCCTCAAAATGTCTTTGCAGTTCGTGCTTCTGCGAAATTTTATGCCCCCACCCCATCCCCTCTCTAGGGCTTAAAGGAGACTAGGGAGGGTTGAGGGGGCGTGGTAAGTGATGCGACGGGCGACCCAAAAGTTTGGTCGCGAGCGGTTGGGGAGGGGCGTGATGCGGTATATTGCACACCCGAGAATCGCTTTCCAATAGCCGTGGCCCTGCCGAACCGTGCCGAGTTACATGGCGAATCCTGTTGGCACGCGCCATCGTTCCACGGCCGATCGACGCCGGGCTTTGAAAGAATGACGTTCATGACAGAAAGTGGCGGTGAGAATTTTAGTGGTCCTGGTCCTCCGAAGGAACGTGTAAATCGCAACCTGGTTAAACCCAAACAAACGCCGGCGACCGCCTCCAGCGGAGGCCCCTCTCTTCCTCGGGGTTGCCTCTGCGCCGCGTGGCTCCTCGCGGTGAAACCCCCGGCACGTCTCCGCCGGGCCCGGCCCGCCTGCGGAGCGCGGCGCGTGTCGGCGCGTGCCAAGTCACGAGGCACCCTCCACGCCGCCGACCGTTTAGGAGCAGAGGGGCTGCCCGCCAGGCTGCCGGCCGCGGGACGCGTTGGCGTGGCTGGACTACACGCGGGGTGGGGCCGCCTGATCGCCCCTGGCTGTGTCACCACGCGTGTGCGTGTGTCAGTGTGTGAGGGCCCACCCCCCTCACAAGGTGGGGGTCGGCGTATATATACTTCGCCCGGTGGCGGTTTTCGTCAGTCAGCGTCTAGCGACCCTCTTCTCCAGGTGTTTACCACCGCATCCTCCACGCTAGCCATGGGTCTTTTCAGCGTAAGTTGGTCTTGTGAGGTTGTTGTGCGCTGACAGTCAGCGGCCCGTTCTGACTCTCCCTTGTCTGTTGCCCCGCCGCAGAGGGTACTGTTGGCGGCGGCCGCCGTCGTGGGTGCGGTCCAAGGCGGCTTCGCCCCCCTGGCGTACACGGCCTTCCCCGGCGCCGTGGCGGCCCCTGCGCCCCTGTTGGCGCGCGCCGCCCCCGTCCTGGCCCCCGCCCCCGTCCTCGCCAGGGTCAAGGCGGTCGACTACGCCGACGCCTACCCGCAGTACCAGTACGCCTACAACGTCCAGGTCAGTGTCGCTGAGGTCGCGAGGCTCCTCGTCTAGCCTGCGTTTGTGACGCTGACGTGTCCGCTTCCCCTCCAGGACTCGCTGACGGGCGACTCGAAGGCGCAGGAGGAGACCCGGGAGGGCGACGTCGTCCGGGGAAGCTACTCTCTCATCGAGCCCGACGGTGTCCGGCGCACCGTCAACTACTACGCCGACCCGCTCAACGGCTTCAACGCCGTCGTGCAGAGGGACCTGCCCGTGGCCGCCCCCGTGGTGGCACCCGCCTTCCTCAAGGCCGCGCCTGCCGTCGTCGTCTGAACATCCCGACTGAACACCCGAAGCAACTGAATACCTGCTCAACATCTGGATATCCTGGTGTGGCGATATGAGCTTTGTACCTGTCTGAAAACGATCCCGTGCTCAAAGTATTATTAATTTAGTTGTATAAATAAAAAACCAAAACCTTCGGCCGCGTGTTGTGTTTTGATAACAATAAAGAAATCACTTGAGATACTCGTATTTTTGTTTTGTTTTTTGTTTTTATTTTTGATGCATTTGAAACTTATGAACGAACATTACACATATTTCCCTTTCATCCAGCTCACCCACTTAACAATTTATATTACAACTGTAACTGTACCGTGTGTGAAGAAAACTATAACACCTCGGTTTTGTGAATTTGCCTGTCATGGGCCATAATGACTTGACACACAGTTCACACTAACGCATCGCCATACAGAATGTGTATTATTTCTAGAAAACTATGCAGTAATTTTAAATAGAAGTCTCGCATGTCCTTTGAAATGTGTCATTATATTTGAAGTGCCCTTTCCAATCGCCACCTGAAAAAGATCTGCTTGCTCTGGGTTTCTGCTTTCGCAACGGGTTCGACGAACGACGAACTCAATTCAAATCCGTATCGTTATTTTGTTTCACAACTTTCCTCATCATTTGTGTTGCAGGAGCCCCGAGGAGCGCCACTGGAAGCTGTCCCACCATGAGAACTACTCGCGCATGCGCCTCAAGCTGTGCCCCAACCTCGGCTTCAACCCGCACACTGACGCCAGCAACCTCAGAGACAACACGGGTGAGCACAATGTGGTCCGACCAGTAAACTCCGCCTTGTTTTGAGGACGAACTGTGTCACCGTTGAATCTTTTTCCCTACGTACACCCTAGTAGAAGAACCTATATCATGCACGCAGCGTTCGAAAGATAACGTCTTCTTATTTGCGTTTTCATGGTAACTGCAACTTTCTGCACTGTTGAAGTCTTACGAAGAAAAATGCCGAATCCTTTGTAATACGAAGGATTTGGACGCTTCGAAGGGAGCAAATCCTTCGTAGGTACGAAGCATTTGGCATTTTGCTTCGTAAGACTTCAACTGTGTGATTCGGGTTTCGAAACACACTAGCCATTGAGGCATTAACGTTAAGCATTATTTCAGTTATTCTGTAGGGATGCCTCGTCCTTATTTACTCATATTTTCATAAGAACAAAGCAATCCGTGCTAGACAATATTCTGCAAAGTGTACAACTTGTTGTACAGTGGAAACTGTCAAATCAAACAGATTAAATTGTGAAAAGGATTGTGTAACGGATATTTTTAAGAAATTACCACTGACTTGGGTTGCATGTACGAGCAAATCGTTAAATTTTAACAGCACTCGTGAATATATGAATCCCTTTTCAAATTTACGACTGAGTTGACGGACACGTACCTAAATGAACACACCCTTAGAAATCGGGATTACGAATAGTAATCCAAATTTATTGAATGTGCTAGTTCCTTTCACTGGAAACGCGAGTGTGTGAATGTCGCTCACCTGTTTCCAGTGTTGTTCTAGCTTCCGTACTTAACGCATTTTTCATGGAAAATTTTTATGTTGGTGTGAATGTTATAGATTATAGTTTTACAGTTAAAACAGCCAACTTTTTTGATTTGCAGAGTATGCATCAACGCTGAATTTTTAGTGGGAAGATGACGTTAAGTAGATACTCTACCCAATCTCACCCCAAAAGAAAACGAAATTTGATCCATTGGCTGGATTTTCGTTTGTTTTTCAAGCGGATCCCCGCGAAACGTGTGGCCCACTTAGGCGCCCTCTGAAAACGTGCATGTCCTTAAAATAACCCGCTCTCACCACTGCCGTATTTTTGCTACTAACCACGTACATCTTTCTATTTTTCTTGTCTATTTAAGACTCGCTTGTTGTTCTGACCGACTGACGAATGCCAAAGAGGACATTTTCTTTATTTCGGTACAAGTTCCGTGTGAAACAGTCTCTCTTTGCTCTCTTGTTTCTTTGGCTTTCTTATCTCATTTTCTGCCTTCTACATCCTGTTCGTGCATTTTGCCCTTCTTTGTGTACCTGTGTATGCCACTTTGAGTTTGACTCTGTTGTGTTCGGTCTTGCTTGCCTCACAGCCAACATTAAGCGAGATAGTGTGGGTAAGTGCGACACTGGTGTTCACAACAAAAACATTACTGTGATGAGGGGCCCGGGGCCCTCCTGCCCTCCTAGTTTAGTGGACACGAAGTACTGTTGGGATTTATTGTTGAATCAAGAAGTTTGCCGTGGGTGACAAATCAACTTGATTGTTGTTTTAATAGTACATGCTTATAGATTTAAATTACCTGACCTAAGAGACATATGGTATTTCCACGGTGTTTCTAAGGTATAATTACATGGGGCATCTCCTCGGACAAACTTCCGTTTTCCGACACTTTTACAGTACCGTCTGATTAATATAGCTTACTTTACCCCTCATTTTATCCTGTAAGTTTAGGATCGTGGTAGTGAGCCAGAAATCTAGGCACTGTGCTTTTCGAGGGTGCTAAGTCGCATCTTTACATAGGAGCTAAGGAAATTGCGAGTTCAGTTCCTTTGTAACGGCATCAAAGAGCAATAATGGTGCTAAAATTTAGTGCCTTGTGTAATTATGACACTATACATTACATTGTTTTAAAGTGCGACTTATCACCTTTGCTTGTTGTTTCTTAGACATTATTTTATTTCCATCTTTTTCCATCTTCTTTGCCTCAACTATAATGCTGCCGCCTTCTCGCGCAATCACGCATTGCTTCTGCTCGACTGCTTTTTTCACAGCATCGCCGGATTTGGATTATAACCATTAAACAGTCGTGCTGTGCTTCCGCTCGTTACTTCAGTATCCAATATTGCGCCAGTACACTAACAATGGATTTGCGATAGTAATAAAACAAAATCTTGCCGTAACTACCGTTGGAAGATGACTCTTGCTTGCGAATAAAATGCGATATATTTGATACGGAAAAATGTTTTGCAATAACAAAGTTATCGCATCATTTTTGTGAAGCTATCGCAGCTGAGTTTCATATAATTGTCTCTATTAACATATATAACGTTTTATTTGCAACAACGAGTAATCGCATCATCCTGGGAGCGATTAACAGTGGGCACCGCAAAACGGCAGATATGGCTAACTTTTTGTAGTCAGTATCGCAATCATCCTGATTTTACAGTGTAGGTGACTCTGACCCCCCGGCCCCGGTGTAAAGTATACATATACTAACATGGTCCGTCCTACATGCAGGCTGGCTGTCCCGGAGGCGCTCCTCAGAGACCCCGCTGTCGCTGACGTCCTGGTCGGCCGCGGTGCGCACAGAGCTCGATGATGACACCCTTCCGGAGGAGGATTTGCGCTCGCTGCTGTCCGAGTAAGCTAATTTTTAATTATAGTACTTCTAAACTTTATCGTTTTATTTGCTTAGAGGATTGTTCTGTCACATCGACGCAATCGACGCAATAATTATAGTACTTCTAAACTTTATCGTTTTATTTGCTTAGAGGATTGTTCTGTCACATTGACCTCGAATTGCATTCGCATTGTCCATACTGGCCGAGTTGAACACTTGAAAGTGCACTACTTCGCAGTTACACTCTTTAAGTGTGCGACGGTTGAGCCATTGGTCTTATCACTATATTTGAAATAACGCTAGATTGTACCTCCTAAATGTTACCTCCTGCTGATATTGATGCAGGCCCGAGCCAGCCGAGGAGGTGACACGCGAGGAGAAGCTCGTGCTGTCCCAGGAGTGCGAGCTGGTGACCCTCATGACCTCGGTGCGGGGGCGCCTCGAGCTCACCACGACCCACGCCTCCTTCTGCGACCTGAGCCCCCTGCAGGATGACGGCGAGCGGCATGACTTCAAGGTGATTGTGTTTTATTATTA